CTCACACAAGAGGTCACCTGCAAATGGAGCATGTGACACTCAAGGCAGGTGTGTGAGCATCTCTCTTGGCGAACTCAGTGAATAGGGGGCTATCACAGGCAGCCGATGAATACAGGCATGGCATTGATATGAGCTAGCAGGATGTGTGACTGCAGGCTGAATGTCTCAGCAGGCAGCATTTTCTGCGCAAGGAACAAAGCCCAGAACTGATGCACATGGCCCCCATGTTCCACAGCGGTCCCGGGTGATCGAGCCGCATGGCACTTTGTTACATGCTAGCTAGGGAATGAGGCACAAAGGGCAACACACTCCTGATTCCCACAACTATTGGAGCATTTTTATGAGAAAATCCGCAATGTTAAAATAGACCCCCTACATATGTTCGTGAAGATGTCGCTTCAAGTTATCACATGTAGTATGTGATAACTAGCTAGAAATGCTTTAGCAGTGTTTTTTGGAGCAAAAAAGTTAGTATGAAGTAGGCCAGAACGAAACAAAAGCAAAACAGGTCCTGTTTGCATAGGAAAAATGAAGTACGTAAAGGGTTAAAGGAATACTGAATACCTTTGCGCTAAGCTTTTTTTTTTATAAAAGCCCAGATGAAAGCTCTGGGACCAAAGTTTGTTGACATATTCTTGTTTTCAGGCAGAAAATAGTAAAAAGTAGTTAGTGATCGTATGTCAACATGCCCAAATGGCAGTCATTCTAAAAATAACGAATTTTATGTATTTTTCACAATATATTACGCCTAGTGGGTGCCATGGACTAGCAGTTTTGTCTTCGCTGGAAACTAATGCATTAACTGCACTCTCGGCTGCTGACACACATCTTGCAACTGTACCATTATATATTTAAAGTGAGGGCATACCGGCCTGTCACTATGCCGAGGCATCCTTGCGATGTGCAAAGTTGGATTACTTCTGCAGCCCTCTCCTGCAGAGTCTGCAGCCGCTTTTCGGTTTCCTTTTTTATTTTTCACTTGGCACTTGAAAAAAATTAGTAATATACTGCAGTGGCTTGATCAGACTGTATGAAGAGCTAAATAACTGCTTTAAAAAATTTTACACTCTTCATAATGCCCTGAACAATGTCATGTCTGCTGACTTTACGGCCACCTATATGGAGGACACGGGGGCTGAGCGCTCTGCTTTTTTAAGAGATGACAAATCATTTTGTGTTGAATTGAAGGATCAAATGAGCCATAGTGCATGCTTGCAGCAAATATGCATATTCTTGCTCCTAAAAATGTGTGCAACCATGCAACTTCATCATTGTAAGTTTGCATCTAAAAACTGGCAACAGTTGACATGACAAGCATGTGAAAATTTACAGTCCTTTTTAGCACACATATCGCTATGAAGCACAGTGAAAGTGGATTCCGCGTTTACTGGGAAGTGACCAAGCATGCTTAGAGCTGCATGCAGGTGGAATCTTTCTGATACAATTGAAGACGAATGCAAGAGAGCTGTAAAAAGTTGTAACCACACGCTTGCCTCATTTGGAATTGTAGCAACATAAAAACTTCACCTGAGCACAAGTTTCTCTGCGGCATGATCTTAATATTTGCCTGTTGCTCCATATTGTGCAAATTTTCTTTGGTTGTCACATGATGCACTTTCAATCGCCATTGAGCCACATTGGGATGAAAAGTTTTGCTGATCGACTCATTTCTCCAGCTTCTGCAAAGGGGCCATTGCAGTAGAAAAATATGGTTCTCATCGGGCTCAATTGTGATACCAAATTTACTGCGTGTCAACCAGCCTACCGAATTACTTTGTATGCTTGAATGAGCTTGCTGCAAGCTGTGGCTTATCGTATTCTCAGTGTCAGTATCATGTTTAAATGAAAACACCAGTGTCCAGCCTTTACAGCTGCATTGATAAGTAGTGTGAAGGTTCGTTTCTGCTGTTAAAAAATGAATCTGTGTTTGCAGCTGGCCACATTTTTGTCTGTAGCATAAAGCAACATTGAAAACAAGTGACACTGGCTATGTGCCCATTGTACAGACATAGTCTGTGGGCAAGGGGCCGCATGGGCTGAAGTCGAGAGTCTTACTGGAACCCGTGTGGTTGGAAAAGTGCTCAAGAACAATTAAAATGTAATCTTCTTGGGGGGGGGGGGGGGGGGGGGCGAGAGGGAGGAGGAGAGGAGGTGGTTGGAGGCACATACAGTGGTGGAAGTTATGTCGGCGAGACTAGTAACCTTTATAAAAACTAGTAACTCAAGCAGCGCATATATGTGTAAGAAAGAAGGTTTCATTGAATTTTGGTCACACATACAGAAGCAACTGGCTATGAAATAAACTGTTAAAAAGCTCCTCCCTCCCCCCCCCCCCCCCCCCTAAAAAAAACATGGTTGATTCTTTCATCCTAGGAATCTGTAAAACAACAAAGTAAAACGTGTCCTTACAGAAGCAGTTTGTTTACTGTGCATTGATATTAGACAGCTTGCGCAATGTGTATTGGTGTATCACATTTACAGCACTGCTTAATCTGGATGCATCCACGTTGAGGCTTAATTATACATCTTTCCCCCAGTGTAGGGTATCCAACCTGACATCTTTCTGATTAACCTCCCTGCCTTCTCCCTTTTTGTCTGCTTCCTTCCTTCCATGCCGTCGACTAACATCTATCATTAATGATTAAACAAACCGTTGGGGCTATAAATGCATGTAGTGGCTGTAACAATCAACGGTGAGAGTAAAATCAGTGAAAGTTATCTGATAGCCAGAATAGTGTGACAAGTGAATGTCCAACGTCAGCAAAGATCGCCTACTCGTGGTACGTTAGAGTACTGAACACCACTGCCCGACTAGAAAGAAACCCAATGCGCATCGTGTGTGCACTGCTGGCCGGCTGCAATTTTTCGTGGGGCCAGCATAAGTAGAGAACCCGGAGTCGCATCCAGGCGAAGTAAGCACGTTGGTCTTATGCGTTGCATAGATATTTTTGGTATGAATGAATGCTATGAGCGACGCTGGCACTTGGGGTAATTACCTAGGGGTTGTTAAGAGTTCACAAAATTGCACTTCTTCTATTGGGAAACACGTTAAATGGACCAGACGCTTAGAAATGTTGCGTTGAAGGAACTAATCGTGGATGCCAGGTCATAGGGCATTACTGCATTTTTTTTTAAGTTTTTACCAAGAACGCTGTGACAGGACAGTAGTAGACATAAATTTTTTTACCCTTCAAATCATTTGGCCATGGCACAGTGGATAGCGTGTCTGGCTTTTGATGATGTGGACCCAAAAGTCATGGGTTCGGCTCCCATTGACGGAACTTTTTTCTTTGTCTTCTGATCTTGCATATTTTTAAACGTCTTATTCATGATGAAAACACATCACCGAAATCTTGGTGGACCCCAGCATAAAACACTTTTGTGTTAAAATAATGGAATAAGGAAAAAAAACGGGGCTTGTCAACTTTATCTTGAATCTCTGACAATTCAGAGAACTGCACACATGCTTAATTATAATGACTGCAACTGGCCTCTCATATATGCATGTTGTTACGTCATACTTTAAAACATACATAACTGGACTGCTTGTGCTTTCATTTTTTGCTGTGAACAAGCTAGGCTGCTGTGCTAGAGCTGAAACATCTTGCTTTTATGTGAGCATTCGATCCATTGTAACCCTGTGGGCTTGAAAAAATAAAATAAACAGGTGACAGCAGCATCATGCTGTTTTGAAGTAGGGTCGAGATAAAAGGCAAAGCTCATGCCTGGCTCCTTTACGTATATAAGGGCACTTTGGCGCAGATCAGAAAAGTACCATACCACCAATAACCTTTACTGCTCTTATCCGGACTGTGTAGCCTCTAGGGGTCCGCACACATAGTCGGAGCAAAAGAATACAATAGGGAAAACGCTATGAAAGCACAGTTAAAAACGGTTGATTGAACCATCCGCTCCATTTCTGGACATTTCTGGGCTCTGGTTAGTTGAACCATTCGCTTCCATTAACCAGAGGGAGGTGAGACCACGTGATCCCACTCTGAACATCGCAGTGATTGCAGCACCCCTGTCTACAGTGGTGGGCCTTGCGCCCAATAGCCACAGGCAGCGGCTGCACGGTAGACTGGTGATGTCTCACTACTGGAGCCCCTGGTACGTGAGCACCAGCTACCAGCCTTTGTTACTGTTGCTACTAGCACACATAAAGTCATGGCCATATGTGAAATATATGTGAAATAAACGCTGCATAATGTAACTCTTCAGAGCTGAATTTTGATGCTTGCCTCGTTTTTTTTTTTTATATATTCGTTTAATATCGCTATAAGTAACTGCCACAGGTACTCTGAATCAATTTTGTTTTTTTTTTTTTAATCTGAATATATATGTAGTTATTTAGTTGTAATATTCCAAATGCACCCAACTTCATCATTGTACTGTAAATTGCTATGCGTGACATGATGGGAATGAAATGCTTGTGCCTCTGTTTTCCTCAGTACACTGATTGCTGTAGTATACCTCTCATTGCCTCCTTCCCTTTACTTAGTCTCTATTTCTGGACCAAATAATAAAATGAGTGGACCCCATATGCCACATGTGAATAGTAAAAGGGCATAGAGTGTGGTCTTATTAATTGAGCATTTGTGGAACTATGCTCGTAAAGCATTAAATTATAGGGTATTATAAAAGGTGTCAATTGGCAGTCTTTACAGTACTAATCAATAATCTCCTGATGGCCACTGTAAGATTAGTTTCAATTGTATTGTAGGGCTATCCTTAAGAAGAGTTTGCCATTTCATTATGAGCCACTCATTCAAATATTCCTAATTTTATAAGGTGATTTGTTTCTGGAAGAAGCTTGAAAAGTAGGGATTTTCCTTCAAGGTAGGGGCTTTTTCTATGTATTTGATTTGCTGCCAGTTGTTGTTTTGCTTGTGGGCAAAGTTAGAAATTTTCGTTAGAGATTTTCAACTTTTCGTATATGTATGAAAATGTTTTTGTTTTTTGTTCCCGTTTCTTTATGCTGCTGGGTCTTTTTTTTGCAGGAGGGAACAGCTAAATTTGCAGATACAGTAGGTGATGATGATCGGCAGCTTCAGAAAGCAATGCAACGACAACAGGCAGCAGGCTCGGTGAGTAGATACGTAAATGTCAAAACGACTCGGGTCATTGAAGTAAGGTATCCCTGTTACTAACACAGTATCAAAGGGCCTTCACTGTTCCATTAAGCCCAAATTACACAAAGACTTGACTGAACAGGATATGTCAGCATGTGCTACTTTCATCCACATGAATTTGCGAGACAGAGGTTCCATAGCATTTGACTTTTCGCTCTGTTGGCCCCGCCGCGGTGGTCTAGTGGCTAAGGTACTCGGCTGCTGACCCGCAGGTCGCGGGTTCGATTCCCGGCTGCGGCGGCTGCATTTCCGATGGAGGCGGAAATGTTGTAGGCCCATGTGCTCAGATTTGGGCGCACGTTAAAGAACCCCAGGTGGTCAAAATTTCCGGAGCCCTCCACTACGGCGTATCTCATAATCAAATGGTGGTTTTGGGACGTTAAACCCCACAAATCAATCAAATCAATCAATCAACTTTTCGCTCTGTTACTGCATGAAGTGACAAATTTAAAACATAGTGTAGGTTGCTTACTATGTACAACTCTAGATTCAAGGCATTTTGCCCAGCATTCGCAAGAATCCCACACATTTCAAAGTTGCATGTCCGTCAAGCTTCGTGGGCAACATTATTTGTGTGGTATAAGCTTTAAGTGAGTAACTTTTGTTCTTTCACTACTTTCTGCCCATAGGACTCTGATCACCCTTAAAGCATGGATGAGCAGTACCTCGTAATGGGACATTAGCTGGAGATTTAGTACAGTTGAAACTGCGAAAAAACTAATTATAATAATTGTAAACAGTAAATAATGTAAATAATATACAGTTTTGTGCCTCTATTAAGACGATGGCGTTCCAGACACTGCGATCATACTCAACTCCATCGTTAAGGCACAAGGCAAAAGATACTTGTTTGTTGAGCTGCGCTCGGAAGCACTCTGCTTTCACTTGAGCATCCCCGCGTCTCTCTCTGCTCGCGCTCTTCTTCGTCTTCGTTTCCTTGTCCCAGCCCAGAATGTGCAAAATAAACACCTCTGAATACTAAAGAACCTGCAAATCTGTAAAATTGAGATCATACAAATCTTTATTAACAAAAGATGAAAGTTTTCATGTACCCATTTGTAGATCAAAGATATAAAGGAAAGTTGTATCATGTTTTTTTTTTAAAAAGCCTCTCTTTTAAAGAAAAACATCTTTTCGGGTTTGTCTCAGCTAACTGGAAAGCTAGCAGTCTGTTGTGCTTAAGTGAATTGCGAGGAAGCGTGGGCATGTGATGTGTGGTGCGCGTTCAAAGTGCGCGCCTTCGAAAAGTGCGCGTCACGGAAAAAAAAAAACAAAAGGAGAAATACCAGAGTGCACGTGCGGTACTGCTTAAACAAGAATGACGACGTTAAAGAGCGTCAAGCACGAGGATGCGTGGCAGGACGTGAAGTAAACAAAAGGTAAAACATCCAATGGGCAGCGAACACGGAGATTTCAAGGCCCAATGGCTTGACACCACGAAACAGTGGTATCTCCAATGAGAACGAGACAAGTGGGCCAGAGCTGAAGCAGGAGCCTGGGGGGACCAGAGCAAGGGGAATTCGAGGCAGGCAGTGCAAGCGGAAGGTCGTCACCGGACCGGGCGCTGAAGATGGGCCGTTGGGTTCCGGACCCGAGCCTACAGGACTTCCACCGGCCGGGGCCTCCTGCTGTCGGGTTCCCGCTCCAAAGGACCGTGGCCATCCGGTCCTGAACTCCTTTCCAGGGCCTGCGGACTTTGGTTCCGGCAGGCGAGCTACAGCCGTCGGGCTCCGGGCCCGAGCTGTGCGCCCAGCGGCTTGACTAGGTCGACCCTAGTTCCCGGACGCGTCGCCACCAGCCTGCGTTCTCCCGTCTCCGACGTGTCCACGCTCCTCAAGCCGAAACCATCACGATTTGGTAGGGCTTTTCGACGTGTCGCCAGCAGCCAGCGTTCCCTCGTCCTCGTCCAGCCCACGCATTGACGCAGGAGTCACGGCGTTCCGGTTTCTCATCACCGCCGAAAACCAACTTGTGGGTGAGACTGCACCGATACTCTTGCGCTACTCCCATCACTCAGCCTCTTTCGAACGTTAGGTTTAGTTACTGACTTTGAACGTTCTTGTTGGGTGTTTACAGATGTGTTTCGTCATGTCCAGTCAACTGTTTATTAAGTGTTTTGTTTTGTGAGGAATCTTTGCCTTTTTACTTTTCAATTAAACTTTTTGTGTGTTTCTTGGAAACCGAACGGCTTTGTCCTTATTAACAAAACTCTCTGAGGCTCAGCCCGGGAGAAAAACAAATCAGCAACAAGAACCTGCATCACAAATTGGCGTCCACGGCAGGACAAAGTCGTTTGTTTTTCCAGTAGATTTTTTGACGCGGTTAACACGATGACGAACACGTGGGAGTTAATTGAGTTGGCGGATAAAATGGGACAGCTGGGAGCTGAAGACAGGCAGTCGGGTGGCAGACCTGAGCCTTCTGGACTTCACCCGGTCTGGACCTCCGGCGAAAGTCTTCCAAACACCTTTAAGGCTTCTCCGCTCAAACATAAACTTAAAGCTGTGGCCCATTTGTCCCTAGGCCATTCTTGACCGATGGCGACTCTCTCGAACCTTTTTAAATAGGCGTCCAAGTCGTCCCGGCTTTCATTAAATCCCGGTATCAGCTTATGAGGATTCACGCTGCATGAAACCCTCCTTTCTTGTGCTGAGCCAGGTGCTGAGTCAACAGTTCTTGTCTCTACACGGCTATTCTCAGCTTCGGCAAGTCTAAGACGCAGTTGCAGGTTTTGGTTCTCTAATTCCAGCTGCTCCTTCTTTGCGCGTGTCTCCAGTTCGAGCTGTTTTTCTTTTTCGCGCGTCTCGAGCTCAAGCTGCTCCTTCTTGGCCTGCGTCTCCCGTTCCAACTGTTCCTTTCGAGCTTCTCGTTCCGCAGCCCGTTCCTCTCGTGCTCGTGCCTCCTTCTCCTCGTACCATGCTTTAAAATCCGCCCCATCAATTCCCATGCGATCCGCCAAGGCCATTAGCTCTCGCATATTCGACATGATGTCAACCGCGTCAATAAATGAAGGTGTCAAACCAACGGCTTTGTCCTGTCGCTGCGGACGCCAGTTTGTGATGCAGGTTCTTGTTGCTGATTTGTTTTTCTCCCGGGCTGAGCCTCAGAGAGTTTTGTTAATAAGGACAAAGCCGTTCGGTTTCCAAGAAACACACAAAAAGTTTAATTGAAAAGTAAAAAGGCAAAGATTCCTCACAAAACAAAACACTTAATAAACAGTTGACTGGACATGACGAAACACATCTGTAAACACCCAACAAGAACGTTCAAAGTCAGTAACTAAACCTAACGTTCGAAAGAGGCTGAGTGATGGGAGTAGCGCAAGAGTATCGGTGCAGTCTCACCCACAAGTTGGTTTTCGGCGGTGATGAGAAACCGGAACGCCGTGACTCCTGCGTCAATGCGTGGGCTGGACGAGGACGAGGGGAACGCTGGCTGCTGGCGACACGTCGAAAAGCCTACCAAATCGTGATGGTTTCGGCTTGAGGAGCGTGGACACGTCGGAGACGGGAGAACGCAGGCTGGTGGCGACGCGTCCGGGAACTAGGGTCGACCTAGTCAAGCCGCTGGGCGCACAGCTCGGGCCCGGAGCCCGACGGCTGTAGCTCGCCTGCCGGAACCAAAGTCCGCAGGCCCTGGAAAGGAGTTCAGGACCGGATGGCCACGGTCCTTTGGAGCGGGAACCCGACAGCAGGAGGCCCCGGCCGGTGGAAGTCCTGTAGGCTCGGGTCCGGAACCCAACGGCCCATCTTCAGCGCCCGGTCCGGTGACGACCTTCCGCTTGCACTGCCTGCCTCGAATTCCCCTTGCTCTGGTCCCCCCAGGCTCCTGCTTCAGCTCTGGCCCACTTGTCTCGTTCTCATTGGAGATACCACTGTTTCGTGGTGTCAAGCCATTGGGCCTTGAAATCTCCGTGTTCGCTGCCCATTGGATGTTTTACCTTTTGTTTACTTCACGTCCTGCCACGCATCCTCGTGCTTGACGCTCTTTAACGTCGTCATTCTTGTTTAAGCAGTACCGCACGTGCACTCTGGTATTTCTCCTTTTGTTTTTTTTTTTCCGTGACGCGCACTTTTCGAAGGCGCGCACTTTGAACGCGCACCACACATCACAGGGCACACAGTATGTGTGTGTCTGTGTGCATGTGTGTGTGTTTTTAAGACCGTTTTTGTGTAAGCCGGCAAGGTAAAGGAAGCTTCATGAAATGGAAGGGTGGTAGCTCAGTCATTTGTAGCTTGAAGCTATTTAAGATGTCTCTACATGTGTCTTAGAAAGTTGAGCTCAAAAAAAATACATCTGGTCCATAATTTGAACTCAGCAACAATACCTTTCTGAAGTGACTTCAAGCTACACATAGAGGAATGAGATTTTCTTTGTCAGATAATTCTTCCACTTGTCAGGCTTTTGAACTAATTTATCAAGTTTAGAGTCCCTGTGCTTCGAGTTGATTAATAAGCACTTGCACCGTGACCTACTATCCTCCTAGTTAACTTTAATGGTAGAAAATCAGCCCCAGAAAGGTGTCAGTCCCAGGCTGCATTGATTCCACTCCTGCACCAACTCTTGCAGGGATTCCACTCCTGCACATAGTGTACCAAATTAGATTTACTGTGCCATCCTGATTAAAGTCTTCATCAATCGCACCAAACTGCATCAGAGTATCAAGTGTCTATCACTAGCAGTCTCATGTCAGCATGTTGAGACGTGTTCAGCTTGATCTCGAGGCCACCATACTTTACAACCACAGGCCAACGATTATTCCTCAAACAAAACAGCCCTCTCATGCAACATTTATAAATACTATACTGCATGCAGCCATACAACAGATGCATGTGCGTTGTCAGTGCACATTAAAGAACACCAGATGGTCTAAATTTCTGCATCCTCAGTGCTACGGCGTCTCATGTAATCATGTTGTAGTTTTGGGATGTAAAGCCCCTGATATTATTATTATC